ATATTCGCAAAAGGAACCATGGGTCTATCTCGATTCCTTTTGCCTGTTACATACATATGCACAAAGACATATTACCCTGTCCACCCTATAATGCCATCATCTCATTAGAAAATTAATTGGACCTAGAGTTCGGACAGATTTCCGTTGGTGCTGAGTACCACAGAAGAGGAGTATTCAATTAAGAAACATATTATTTTTTCCAATTTGGAACCAGCTACTCTCTGACACTGCCTTAAAGCCCCTCAGGCATATATCACTACATTCAGCTCATTACAAAGGACATGGTCTTAGAGTGCGAAATTGTATTATTTTTATTATTATTTATCTGTTACCGCCTTATGGCTATGATGGCTGCTAAAGCAGCATATTACATACTTACCAGTAATATTAACTATCTTTTATTTTCAGCTCTTGTAAATGACCGAAATATCCACAATAAAGTCCCGTTCCAGAACCTAAAAAATTTTACTAATTTTACAAGTTTTCCAACTTTTTACTCCAAAACCGTTCCTAAACCCACAAAACTTGTAAAATGTTGACTCAAATTCAAGAGAACACAAAACAAAATGGCTTTCTCTTTGTAAACTTTTTACTCGAGAAATTTGGCCGAGTAAAAAAGGTAAACAGGAATGACTACTTCTGATTGGCTTTTGTGTTGATTTTGAAGTATTACCATCTAATATTGCCCACTTTACTAGCTTTCCGTTCCACAACATTTTCTTTGACTTTCCATTTATCTTGTATAAGTAAACAACATAACGCCTGAATGTATGCTTTAATTTTCTAATAAGTTACCCCAAAGGTATGTACATGTGGTTGGCAATACCAATCAGTCGTTTTTACTTAAATATTCACACAGTCATAATTTTTGCAATAGAATAATTTTATCTATAAAATGAGATATAAACTTCTCTCTCTTATTATAAGAAAATATTTCTATTTTCTATACAAACGTTTCCCCAATAAAAAAAATCTACTCTTAAAATATTTATTCCCTAATAAAACCATCTTCTTTAATAATTGTATAAAATTATGTCTTTGACTTTCCATTTATTTTACATAAGTAAACAACAGAACGCCTAAAAGTATGCTTTAATTTTCTAATAAGTTAACCCCACTAAAGCAAAGTCATATGTATGTGGTTGGCAACACCAACCAGGCTTCTTGTTGTACTCTATTATTTACGTAGTCATAATTTTTACAATAGAATAATTTAATCTATAAAAGAAAATTGAAAATAATCTCTCTAATTAAAAGAAAATAATATTTCGCTGTTTCTTACAAAAATTTTCCCAATAAAAATCTTTTTTTTCAAAACATGTATTCCCTATTAAAACCATCTTCTTTAATAATTGTGCTTGGCAACACCCGCCATAACACTACTATGATCGATAGCAGACAATTGTTCTTCTTGTGTGTTATCGATTACTTTGTTTATGAACATCTGGTAGAGAGAGAGCAAACGAGCGTCATTCACTGAGAGAGAAAATAGAGTTGTTTGTGCATTTTAGTTAGTATTTTCTTTTTGTTTGGCTTTGGCATTTCTTTTCTTAATTTCTTTACAAGAAAAACATAATTTTTACTGGAAGATAGTTTATTAAATGTTTATAAATAAACAAATTATTAAATTTACTTGAAGTTAGAGGTAAGTGTAAAATGAAAAACATCCAACACGTGTATTTATATATAAAGTAAAAAAAAACATTAAAAACAATTGGCCTCATTTTTTCGTAGAATTTCATACGAGTTCGTGTATGTGTCACACCTGACTAGAATCATTAAATATTACATTTGCTACATACATTATGTATGTAAAAAGAATTTTAAAGAATGAAAGATGGAATTTGGGGTACAGGTTTCCAGAATTGTGATGGAGTCTTTCATATAAAATTATGATACACCGTTGTGTTGAGTGTTGTATTCAAAGATATTGTTTTTCCAAGTTTTACGAGTAAAGGATCTAATTACAATGGCTTAATGTACACTTAATATCATGGTATTAACTCAAATACCATATTGAATTTTGTTCCCACTATATGCTTAGTCATCAATTTTAGTTTTACATAGTTATCAATTTTAATTTAAAGTACTAAAACAGAAGCGTCCATAAGTTAAGAAATTTGGATTCAGAGGTATTTTAATGCTTTACATAGCATACATAGGATTTTCATCTTACATTAGACTTACATTCCAACACAGGTATAAAATCTTTTAAAGTCGTTAAATACATCTAATAATAATTTCTTTACAGACACAGGTTTACACTTCCTGCAAAGGATTTGTATTGTTAAGGATTTTACTACCTGTTTACTGCACATACACACGGACACACCAGCAGGATTGATTTGCTTCTTTATACAATCACACGTAGTACAATTCCACTACATATATTCTACAGCCATTAAAAACTATTTCGCTCTCAATACCGAGAAATAGTCTGTACTAAAAGTAACCGATATATGTTATTCCACAAAAGAGTCCCATTTTTTGCATAAGTGTATCCTTAAGAAACAATGTATTGTTAGCTGCGATAGTTGCTAGCTATATCCATCCACCATCATTAATTTCATGTTGCAGCACTTAATTATTAACGATCTGTAATTGCCTCTAGAATATTGTACCAGTATAAAAAACATCCCTCTTATATATACTGTGTTCACAAATTGTTGATGTGATGTATATATATGATGTCATTCAATGTTGTGTCCTTTTAACATGTGATCATAAGGTGGTGGTTGTTCGTTCCAATCGAAAGGTTTCTGCAGTTACATTTTGAGTGCATACATTACGAGTTCTACGGGTTCTACTTAATATTGTGGAATACTTATTTGCGAAATGAAAACATATTTATATACCATTCAATTAAGGGACGATGACAGTCTGTTTTTGTAAAATTCGAATCGAACGAAATTGAATAAGTTATGCTATTACATTAGAAAGAAAACTAAGCGTTCTCCAAAGGTTGTACAAAAACATGTACATACCGTACAAGCAATTGTAGGTGCGTGTAGATCAACATCGATCGCTACAACAAAATCTGCTTTGAAAAAAGGACATCTTTTGGAGTTACGACAAATGTCGAAGTTTAACCATTTTGCATTTAATTCGCAGATGCAATTTCGCAATAACTTCGATATAAAAATACAAATTATTAAAGCACAACCCTTGTAAATCCACATAGCCCAATATGCCTAATGTACATTCTGAACAACTAAGCACTTTCGAAGATCGTGGAAATTCTACGTCGATTTATGCATGTCCGTCTGTCTGTTGATCACAATTAAGGTATAGCTTTGACATTTTGCGCAGGATGTGGTTGATATTGCAAATGGCGTATATCGGTCCACGTTTTTTATAGCGCCCATATTATACTTTACCCCCGAATTTTCGGTATTTTGGTGATTTTTGACACGATTTTCAACCGAATTGGTACACTTTTTAGGGTAGCCCCCATATTAAGGTACCCCCATTATTTTGTATTTTGGAGAATTCTAGACACGTTTTCAACTGAATCAGCTATAATATGGTAATTTGGATTTACTTTGGCTATCACATTTGCCTACTAAAAATTATTAATATTCATTGGGTAATGTGCGTCAACACAGCAAGATGTTGTCGATGCAATATCTGCTTGGGTGTTATACGAGTAGCCATCCAAACTGTTACCTAATGGATAGGCACCCACCACCTAGGCATGTCAGGAGGGACCTCCATGATCTGAAGAGAGAGGTCCAAAGGTACAAAAGGAAGCCTCTAGATCAACAGGCCTATCAAGCAGGATTGAATCGTATTCACACGGATGCAGTTGAGGAAGCAATTCAAGAATATCGTGTGAATACCATCCTCGGAGACCATCCGCCTATGATAGCTGCCTCGACAAACCAGAGTGGTCTTGGCACAACTAAGATCTGGATGGTGTAGCCGCCTCAATTCATACTGGGCACGAACTGATGGAGAGGTCGACAATATCTGCCGGCATGTGGTAACGGACCACATGACACGCTACACCTATTCAATTGGCCAGCCAAACCCACTCCCCTAACCCCATCTTCTCTTTGGACTCAACCGATACAGGTCGCAACCTTCCTGAACTTGGAGTTAGAAGCAGAACAAGGTTAAAGAAAATAGGAGAAATACACAGCAGTACAAGCTGCTACAACAACAACTGCCGTATGTCATAATGTGAGAAGTAGAAAAAAGGTTCTCAAGTCACAGACCGACACCACCTGAGGGTCTGGCAAAAAATACTTCTAATAAAGCAATAGACCAGACACTTTTGCGGTCCAATTAAGTTTACGATGCAGATGATCCTCACTCGTCATCTGCATCGGGAGGCAAGGATACTGTCGGTGCAGCTACATAACGTGTTGCTCAACAGACATGTCATCTGTACACGCATCCCAACCATCATGTAGTGGTTCAGCGTCCATCCCCTCGACACATTTGGAAGGACGTCAAGGGATATAGCAACGACATCCAGAAAGTTTTTTCATCTAACATCGACCGATTGTCACTGCCTAAATCGTTGAGAACTCAGACAAGAACCGATCATGATGATCAGTCATTCTAAATTCGTTTAAATCAAGATCCATTTGCAGTCAAGATCCGCATGTTACAGGTCATTTATTTGCATGTCCACTTCAACCCACAGATCATCGTCTCATTGATCTGTGGCTAAGACCACTACACATTAATCCCATCACTTCAAATAAAAACCCATCATCCTACCCATTATCCAAACTTATCATGCAAATTAAGCATCCGATACCATTTTCAATTGAATAGCAGTCACCCATTCGCAAATAAATTGTTATGTCATTGTGCTATTTCTGGGAAAACGAGGCAGCCAAACTGTTACAACAACTGTATTCTTAGCACTGAAATTATGCCCTCAATTCCCATAGTCATCATGTCTAACACATACCAAGCATGTGAACCTGGGGCCACACGATATATTGAATCTCTTCAACAAATTGCAACCTTTCGGAATTTTAAAACATATGAGTCGGAACAAAGCAATAAGTAAGAAGTACTAGTTTACATTTAAGTTGTTACAACAACCGAGAAGAACTTGTTGTACCCTCTAACATGAGGTGGGCCTTAAAAATGCTTAAAATCGGCCAGATTTTTATATGGGCGAAGAGTTTTTCAATTCTCTGGGAAACTGACATAACAAATTTTATACATTCATGTCGGAAAAAGCCTTCGAAGTGCCTTAAAATTTCTCAAAGCTATATATAGAATACATCTATATCGAAACATGGATCTATATTTAAAGATTTTTGCGAAATTTATTTTTTTTTTTCTGGGCTCAGCTAAGAATATCCGAGAGAAAAGTTTTTACGTTAGGCAATTTTTAAGAACATTTTTATCTTGACAGTTATATAAGTTTTTTGCTTATTATTCATATCTATAGTGTTTATATTTCTCTTTTTTATTTCTTTACAGAACAAACATTTTACGTCCTGAAGACGCCGTTCCAAACATTAATGCCATCGAAAATGTCGCACCTCAACTGGTGCCGTTTATGTATAAATAGTTGTACAGATTTCGTAGAACTCTACGATGAAAATGATCAATTTAAAATGGAGGTTTATCAAACAACTATTAAGTATTTCCACACCATGGTAAGTAGAATTAATTATTACAAAAAACACTTATTAATTGTATTATTTTTTTCCAACAGTTCTTGGAACCCATACATGAAAGTCCCCTGAAGGTGATGTGCTCGGAATGTTGGCGACAAATAAGCGAATTTGATAATTTTCAAAAATCCATATTATTGGCCCAATCCACACTACTAAAAGGTGAAACGGAAAAGGAAACCGAAGATGAAGAGGTTTTGCCGTTGCCTGTAAAACAAGATTTTGAAGAGGAGGAAAAAGATGAGGAAGCAGCTGCAAATTCAATTAAAAACGAAGATGGTGATGACGCAGTCATAAACCCCTTTGAGGCATTACAATGTGATAAAGAAAATAATTACAAAAATTCTGATGATAACGATGATGCCGTACAAAATCAAATTAATGAAAATAATTTCAAACTCTATGTTAAATCCATTGTCGACATGATAAAGGCCCAAAATGGTGAATTCAATATGGGCGTACAAAAATCTGGTCTAAATCCAGAGCTTAGTATTACACCCATTGACCTTACAGAAGATGAAATAAATCAAGAGGATGATAGTTCACATTCTGATATGGATTATGGTGGCGATGAAGATATATCAATGGCAGCTGCCGAAATGTTATCGGTACAATTGAATACAAGTGGTGATAATAATTTTATGGGTGAAAATACCATGTTGGAACATATGCATCAGTTCTTTAGTCGCCAAGCGCCACCTGTCCAACAGGAGAATTCAAGAAATCGTACACCCAGCGAAATATTGGATCAATATATAACCAAATGGCGTTCAACGCTAAATTGTCCTCTCTGCAATGCTGTGGTGGCAAATGTGGCCCATTTGGGAGAACATTTTAAGGAAGTACATCCCCAGGAGAAATCACACATAGAATGTTGTCAACGAAAATTGTTTACACGTTCATCGATAGCCGAACATGCACGAGTCCACCTGGATCCCAACACATTTAAATGTGAAATATGTGGTCGGGTTTGTAATACATCCAAAGCCTTGTTAAAACATAAAATTTCCAAACACTCTGAGGGTAATGAAAGTGGTGCTGATGGTGGTGGAAATGGCGGCGGTGTTGGTGTCATGGACAGTCGTACCCCAGATTCATTGAACAAATCAAAAATATCCAAAAAATCTGCCAAAGAATTAGATGAAATTATTGCCCGCTGGAAACCAAATTTAGAGTGTGTGGTCTGCTATGGCCAATATCCCACCTACACGCTGCTACAACAGCATTTTCACTTGGAACATCCGCAGGCACCATTCTACGTTGAATGTTGTCAACTAAAGTTGGAACAACGTTGGCATTTAGCCGATCACATGCAACTGCATTTGGATCCGAATGCCTTTAAATGTCAACTATGCAATCGTGCCTACAGCTCCAGCCGACATCTATATCGTCACATGTACTATACACATTCGATGCGAGCCGGTGGCAATAATGTCAAATCGCCTACTTGCCACAAATGCCCCCTGTGTGATAAGACCTTTAAGGCGCGTCGTTGTATGCAGGAGCACATGGCCACACACACCGGTCAGGAATTGTATCGTTGCCTCTACTGCAGTGAAACATTTCGTTACAGTTCATCGTTGTACACACACTTGAAGAGCATACATCCGCTTGAATGGAAAGATCGCAAAGACACAAGAATGTTATATAAATTAATGAAAATTGAAGATTCATAAGAATTGTATTTGAGAGAATGACTAAAAAAAAGAAATGCATTCCCTTTTTCTTATTTGATATGAGTATTATGAACTATTTTGTAAGTTTGTAGTTTATTGCTCCAGATATATAGCCATACACGTTGACGATATTTTTCTTTTATAATTATTTTTTCATAAACCATGTTGAGATTTGTGAATACTTTATTAAATAATAATCCCTCCATTAGTTTTAATCTTATAATTTTTTTTATTTTATTTTTAATATTTGTATTTTTTATATAATATAAATTTTTATTAATCTCGAATTTAGCACAAATTTTGTAATAAATTATGATATTTAATATTTTGTTTTTGAATTTGTGATCATTGTATAAAAAATCCAAGCCCTTGAAAAAAAAAACTATTTTTAAAAATCCACACATTGGAAATCATTCAACCTTAGTTCGTAAAAAAGAATGAGAAATTTGTTGGATTCTTGAAAAATTATTTTTTTTTAAATCAAAGCATTTAAAAAAATCCAAGCCTTGTTAGGTTAGGTAAGGGATGTTCGGTTGTTGTAACAACCGTCCACTCGGAAACTATGTCCATTGTGATCATCCTTTATGTATAAGTGTACCTATAAAGAAAAGAAAAAAGATAGTGGAAGAATAGAGAGAAAAATAGTAAGAGGAAGGGGGCGGAAGAGAGATTATTTTAGCCAAATCAATTTTTTGACAAAGCCTAGAATTTGGTTAGGGTATATTTTTGAGAAGAAGACTATCCAAACTGTTTATGTCTTCTGCTGATCAGCGATGGACATTTGCAGAGGATGTGCTCAATTGTTTCCAGTTCTTCTTCGTCCTCACATAGACGACAGTAATCCTCTCCACTGGAGTCCCACTTAGAAGTGAGAGATCGAACTTTGCAGTGACCAGTAATAATCCCCACAACGATTTTGATCTCCCTCTTGCAGTGTTCCAGCAGCGAAGACGTTCTTTTACGAGAGAATCCTGGCCAGATAGATTTAGAGATTCTGCAAGCAGGTTCCCTTAGCCATCTGTTACCGACTACCTCGCAATGAAACGCACGGATTCTGCCAATGAAATAGCTAATGGGGGGTTTCACAGATCTCTCAATCAGAAGACTGTACGACTGTGACCCCCATCGAGCAAGCTCGTCGGCTATCTCATTCTCTTCAATGTCGTTATGTCCTGGAACCCAGCATAGCCCAACGATCTGTCGTATATCATTCAGAGCGGTCTTACAATCATGAACTGCTTTCGAGTTTATAGTATGCGACTTCACCGCCTTCAGGGCCGCCTGACTATCTACATAAATAGTCACCGGTCCCGTAATGTCGGCATTAAGTGCTTTTACTATCTCGGCCGCTTTCGTGATTGCGAGAATCTCTGCTTGAAAAACGCTACAGTCATTGTTGAGTTTATATGAGTTCTGTGCCTTCCTCCATCTTGGACCCGTCTGTGAAGATTGACAGATCTGGCAGAGGTAGGGAGCCACTAGTCCAGGATTTCCTACTAGGAAATTCAACTTTGT